CCCGTTCCCCGTTCCCCGTTCCCCTCTCCCCTCTCCCCGTTCCCCTCTCCCCGCTCTCTCCGGTCTCTGCCCAGAACCCTCTCAGCGCCTTCCAGGAAAACAAACGCGCAGAAATTCCGAAATTCCGCCCCCACCCCGCGCGCCGCCGCCTTCCTCGAGCTAAAAATGTTCCTGGTTTGTTTGTTCTATATTTTCCGGAGTTATAAAACTTGTTGCTATTTTTGGGCAAAGAAGCCGCTCGGCTCCCAAGTCCGTCCCTTTTCCAGGTTTTATTTATTTTTTTTAGATTTTCCTTTCTTTTTTTGGGTTTTTTTTTTTTTAGTCTTACGGGTTTTTTTTAATTTTTTTTTTTTTTGGTGATTTTTTCTATTCATTTAACGCCTTGTGACAGACGCACCGGATTTTAACGGCTCAAAGAGTTCAAAGCTTTCTTTCTTTGCTTTTTTTTTTTTTTTTTAAATTTTTTTGGGGTGAAATAAAAATCATCCGGAGGGAGGGAAAAGCTCCAGCTCCACAAAACCCCTTTAAAACGATTAAAAAAAAAAAAAATCCTATTTAAACGGGACCGCTCATTTCTCCCCCCCTAAAAAAAAATGCCATTTTTGCTCCCCCTCGCCCAAATTTCACATTTTTCTGCCTCATCCTCATTTCCTCATTTCCTGCTCGCCCTCCTCCCCCGGATTTTTGGGGGTTCAGGGGTTCCCCAAAACCCCCCGGGGCGCACTCACGGCGGGCGGGGCGGTGCTGGAGGGTCCTTGGGGGTCTCGCTGCGGTTCCGGATCCTTCTCCATGGGGGGAATCGCTGCCTTTGGGATCGGGAGGGGTCCTGGAAGGGAAATAAAACATCGGGGAGAGGCTCAGACCCCAAATTGTGGCTGCCCCGGGGAAATTCCGGCCACCCCGAGGAGATTCGGTGCCCGTCCGGTACCGGGACCGGCCGATGCTGCTGCGCCCCCCACCCACATTTAGGGCTCGGTGCCCCCCCGAATCTCCCGCTCATCCCGGAGTTTTTGGGGAAAAAACGGCGGAAAGCGGCGCGGGGAGGGCAGAGGGGGTCCCCCGGTTCTCCCCGAGCCCCCCCCCGGTTCTCCCCGAGCCCCCCCCGGTACCGGCCGAGCCCCTCCGGAACCCCCCGGTCCCGCCCCGGCCGCGCTCGCGCTCACCGGCCACGCCCGCACCACGTGACCGCGGGGAGCGCCCGAGGGGCGGGGCCGACACGCCCCCCTGGCCGCCCATTGGCTGGAGCACACACGCCCCTTCTCCTATTGGACGGACGCGCCGCCTGGCCCCGCCCCCCCGCGAGGGGCATGCCGGGAGTTGTGGTCCTGAGGGCGCGGAGCGCGCGGGGATGGGGGGAGGTCCAGGTGTCAGACACAGGTGTCACACACAGGTGTCACACACAGGTCCAGGTGTCA